AAGGCTGCCACGGAGAGCAACGCGGGCTCCCTGCCCCGCAGCTACGTGTACGACGTCTGCTTCGCCGCCGGGACCGTCAACAGCGAGTTTCGGTTCCTCAGGCCCCTCTTCCCCTGCTTACCCGCTGGGCTGCCCCCCGGCCCGGGCGAACAGCGGAGCTCAGTGTGCTCGCAAGACGCAGCCAACCTCGGGGAAGAAGGCAACTGGGCTGTACAGGTGAGGGACGTGGCCGGGCCGAGGCGAAGGGGGGAGCGGGTAGGGAGCAGCGCGGGGCGGGGGATGTGCTCACCCCTGGCATTAAAGGCTACCGATGTTGCGGAGCGGGTGGTGGAGGAGCCACTGGGGCGAGAGAGGAGGGTAGAGAGGGTCTCAGAGCCGCTGGCGGGGGCCTCCCACGAGGATCCGGCACGGCTCAGCTGCTCCCCAAGGGCTGACTAACCGCGCCTCTCTGCATCCAGCTCTATGCCCTGAGTATTCGCGTTAGATCAAGTCTTTGATGTCACCACAAAGGGGGGCAGCTGGACCGTGAGAAGATGAGAAGTAGGGGTATGGATGTGTGAGCCACACAGTGGGTCCTGTCCACGCACTGCGTAGAGCCCGTAGGGACCCAGAGCAGGAACGACACCGCACCTAGGGACACGTCCTCCCAGAGGCGGCAGCACCGGGAAGGTAGTGGTCCTGTCCAGCGTTAAGCGGGACTGCGGGGACAACGGTGCAAAGGGGTGTCACGTCACTGATAGCGTCCCCTGCACTGCTGTTAGGAGCTGGTGCTCGGCGCTGCCAAGTGCCGTTCACCAGGGTGGTGGCAGTGCTGAACTCAAGCTGTCTTACAAGCTGCTGGAGGCCACGTTGGTGGGGATCTTCTGCCATCAAATTCCCTTATGTGTGGCTTGAATGAACAGTATTGGCCAGAAAAATGTTGATACTGGGGCTTTACAACGCACCCTCCCAGTCCCTTCCTGACCCAGCCGGGTGATCCCGGACAGTACCAGCACCTCTCTTCCCGGTGCTGCTGTGAACGTAAAGTGAGTCATGTTTGAGTCCTTTAAACTTCGGCTGTTCAAAGAGCGTGGGGGAGACAAGAGGTGGCCATTGAGACAGCTCCTTCTCTCCTCATGGAGCTACTAGTTTCCGGGGATCCATCTAGCACTTCACAAGAGTCTGGACGATAAACATATATGAGGCTGAAGACCCACAAACACCATCTCATGGTCATTCCACAGGATTTTCGTATTTCATAACCACTGATGACTTGGACTCACTTCACTGCAGGTTCTCAGAACCGCAGTCGCAGTAGCCATCAGGGGCGTCAAGGACCCATCTTGATACGTCAACATTAAACCACATTTACTGCTTGTGAGAAAGTGGTTTTTGTTTGGGGCTCTTACCATCTTAAATTACTCCCTCAGACTCATAAAAGGTTTGCAGTAGTGCCTTTGTGATGTCCACAGTGGAGGATGCTTTCTGGCTTTAGATTTTCCCCGTTCAGGTCAGAGACTCACTGCCTTGTCCAACCTCCTCTTTGGCTCTGGGTAGAGAAGAGTGGTGCCACCCATGCAGAGGTGTAAGACATGCCCTCTAAGCTTCTCGCTGATGCGTGCTTCAACGCCCAAACAACAACCTCCACTCTCTGTTCTTTGCAGGGCAGAGCTCCCCTCTCCGAAGACACGGGGCCCAGACCTGCGGAAGCAGCTTGCACTGCAAACAGGGGGATGGAGCTAAATGTCAATTCTGATCAAAACCCTTGGCACACCCATCAGTAAGTGAGGAGAAAGACAAGCATGTCTGTCCTCACCAGCTAACGTCCTCACAGGGAAAAGAGAACGAAGAGACCAAACACCCACCCAAAAGGTACCAGGGAGGTACAAGGCTTCCCTGTGAGAGAGCAAAACCACTCTCCTCTTGAGCAGTGCTTTATTCATGTAGGTATTTTGTAATTGTGATTTGGATGGAGGACGAGGACTGTGTTGCATGTTGATTACTCCGAGACTTGATGTATGTTTGTGAGAGTGCTACTGCTTCTAAATGTTAAGGGAAATCCTGAAAACTGGAAGCAGATCTTCAAGATAACTTTTTCCTACATCACCTTTTCTGCATTTTTTTCTTATGGAGAGGGATCTGTAATAATGTCTTAATTTTCTGCAGTCTGTTCAATACCAGGCCAAACAGATATTAAGCAAAATTAAGTGGTGCTTGCAAAGGAATTCCTTAATAACAAGCAGAGGCTGATTACATTAGAAACGGCTGACACTGGCACACTTCGCATATTTGACCAGGAGTTTACAGGTTCTCCACACTGTAAAGAGTGGGCTTTGAGCAATGTATTCATTCTTTTTTTCCCCGTAACATAAAATTGAAATCGACATTTCAGGATTTTTGAGTACAAGGTCGCAGAGAATTACAAGTACTGTTTGTGGTTTTACAGTAAAATAGGCTAAAACGTTTACAATAAACTTAAGGCACTGTAGAATATAGTGTCAAGAAGCTTTCTGTTTTCCTTTCATTAATCGATATTGATCTATAAAGTAATGTGATATTTCCTGTGGCTCACACATTTTTAAGAGTCAAATGCTTGATGACAGAAAACAATAAAACCTACTTGGAACTCCCTCGGGTGAGTGTGTTGTCTCGAAGATCACTTGTCACAGTCATCGCCGACACTTGTCACTGTCATAGCCACCCCAAGAGCAGCATTTTGGAGTAAATCCGTGCCTTTGGCGTGGATTTTATGCAGGGGAAATCAGAGCGACCTGGAAGTAGGCCGTTCTCAGAAGCCGGAGCAAGGTGGAGGGGGCTTGTCTGAGCCAAGCTGAGGTCCGAGAGATGCTGCCCCCGGTCCCTTTGCGAGGGCTCCCAGCCTGAGAGGCCGTGAATCGGGGAAACAATCTCAGTCCATTCCAGAAACCCGCCTGAGAATTACTACGGGGAACTACATGGCGATCGCTGCTGTGGTTCGTGGACCAGCTCACTCTGGATGCTGGACACCTGTAACAATACACAGCTTTTTCAGCTAAACAGCCTAAAATTCATGTCTTCACTGTGCATAAACACTTCAAACTGTTGTAGGGAGGGACATTAGAAAAACCAGCTTTAAATAAAACTCGTTTTCAAATAAAAGGCAAACAGAAGCATTGCTCATTCAAGTGGTGGCCATACTTTGAACAGAGTTGTATGGGCAGTTAAATCTGTGTGCCCTGAGCTCGCAACAGAGAAAGGTAGCGGTTGCTCTCTGTTCTGCAGTCTTTGCTCTGGGAAATCTCCGCGTCCTTCTGCAGGTCGGCCGCCTGGTGCCGCTGCTGACCGCAGAGGCGCGGAAGCTCCGCGCAGCTTCCAGATCCACCGCCCCCGGGGCTCGGCCGGGCGGGGCCGTTCGCGGGGCTGCACCATCCCGGGCTGCTCTGCTCGGGGGTCGGCAGGCTGGATCGGCAGCTCCATCCAGCTCACAGGGGGAGGAGATCGGTTGGCTGGGAGGCAATGGAGCTGAGGAAGAGCGCGGAACCGCTCCCAGGGCGAGCGGTGGCTCTCATCCTGCTGCTCCTTTGCGTGTCGGGGATGAGAGCAGAAACCGCCCTGTACTCGGTGCCCGAAGAGGCGGAGAGAGGCTCCTTTGTGGCGAATATCGCTAAGGATTTGGGACTGACGGGTGAGGAATTATCGGCTCGACAGGCTCGGCTCGTTCCTGACGGAGAAAAGCAGTATTTACAGTTGAACCAACACACCGGGGATTTGGTGGTGCGAGAGCAGATGGACCGGGAGGAGCTGTGCGGGCAGACTGAGCCCTGCCTGGTGCGTTTCGAGGTGCTGCTGGAGAGCCCACTGCAGTCCTTCCGAGCTGAGGTAAGCCTCACCGACATAAATGATCATGCTCCCGTGTTCTTAAATAAAGAGATAGTTTTAAAGATCCCGGAAAGTGCAATGCCGGAGGCTCGATTTTTGTTGGAAAGCGCTCAGGATCCAGATGTGGGGAACAACAGTCTTCAGCATTACAATATCAGCTCGAACGACTATTTCCATATCTACACCCGGAGGCGGAGTGATGGCAGGAGGTACGCCGAGCTGGTGTTGGACCGAGCCCTGGACCGGGAGCAGCAGGCAGAAGTGACTTTCAGTGTCACGGCTGTGGACGGTGGGTCTCCACCGCGCTCTGGTACAGCCTTAATCCGCGTGGTAGTCCTGGATACAAATGACAACATCCCGGTATTTACCCGTAGTCTGTATAAAGTCCGAGTATTAGAAAACAGCGCCGAGGATACCCCAGTGGTGGTGGTGTCTGCTAGCGATTTAGACTCAGGAACGAATGGGGAAATAGTTTATTCCATAGTTCAAAACTCAGAGGAAAATCTCCAGACGTTTAAAATAAATCCAGAGACAGGGCAGATTGGACTCAAAAAGACGGTGGATTATGAAGAAACAAAGACCTACGAGATAGACGTCCAGGCCACAGACGGAGGGGGTCTGTCCGCGCACTGTAAGGTGGAGGTGCAGGTGGAGGACGTGAACGACAACGCCCCCGAGGTGGTCATCACCTCCCTCACCAGCACCCTCTCGGAAGCCGCCCCGCCGAACACCGTGGTGGCCCTCTTCAACGTGCGGGACCGGGACTCAGGGGACAACGGCAGGACGAGCTGCGAGCTGCCGGGCGAGCAGCCCTTCAGCATCACGCCGCTGGCGGCCGACGCGTACGCACTGGTGACATCGGAGGCGCTGGACCGGGAGGAGGTGGCAGAGTACAACGTGACGGTGCGGGCCCGCGACGAGGGCTCCCCCGCGCTCTCGGCGTCCAAGACGCTGCTCGTGCGGCTCTTGGACGTGAACGACAACGCGCCCACCTTCGCCCAGGCAGTTTACACAATGGTGCTGAGCGAAAACGAGCCCGCGGGGACAAGCCTGGGCCGTCTGAGCGCCACGGACGCGGACGCGGGAAAAAACGCCCGCGTGAGATATGCGCTGGAGCCGCCCCCGCCGGGCGCACCCGCCGCTGCATCCTTCGTGTCCGTGGACACGGAGCGTGGAACCGTGCGGGGG